CTATCAAGATATCTTTTGCATTACTCTCCTCCTCTGTCCTGCCCTCAACCTGTCCAATAACTCATTCCCCTCCCCCATCCCCTCCTTTCCCCCACCCTCATCCACCCTCATGCCCACTCCCCCAAACCCACCTCCAGTTCACTGGGAAATCCCATCTATTTCCCCTTTCATACATCCCTCTTAGAGTCTTCCTTGTTACCTAGCTTCCCTGGGGCTGTGGATTTGAGCTATCTTTTGTGCCCCAGAAAATTATACTTTTTATAGTTACTTGTCAATGGTAACATTTATGAATAGAAACAGGTCCAGATTTTCTAACTGCAAACAGAATCACTGTTTGTTTTTAATATGTGATAGTGAGATAACATTCCAAGAGGTCTTCCTGATAGTATTAGTGCAACTACTGTTTTTCATGTAAAAAGTACCATTAAATTTCCAGTGATTGGTTTTTATATATAATTTTATAAAATTCAGCTGTGTAATTACCTTAACAAATAATGGAAATTTTGTATAAAATTGAGTATCAAAACCAAGTCATCTAGTTTGATAGTTTAATGCAAATTTACCCAAAATTGTGTGAAGGTGGAGCAAACAGAACAGACCTTTGCTTAGTTGTTGGTAATTTCCATGTACTAATTGTGAATCTATGCTCCTTAACTTTGGCAGTATAGTATCTTTTGCTGATGGCAGACCTTAACTATGAGGAGCCTATGGAACACTTTCCAACATTGAATATATGTGCCACTTTAGAAAGAAATAATTTTATTATGACTATCTGAATTAGAAACATATATTGTTCCTGGCATGCAGGTACATGCCCATAATTCCCATACTCAGGAAGTGGAAGAAGGATGGTTATGGAGACCCACAGAGGTTTCCTAGTCAGATCTGAGCTTGCTTTACCCAGCAGAGCTGCATAAGGGGATGATTTGACCATGGGTGTGGTTACCAGGTGTTTAGAAGGGTCTGCACTTGGCTGTGCAGTATGGTTTGATCTAGCAAGAGGGAGGTCTTTTGCCCCACCCCTTGGCATTGTTCTAAAAAGCCCTTTTGAAGAGACAAAGAAGCCAGTGGATTTTGATTCTGGTCCTCCCTAAGCTATCCCGTGTTTCTGTCTGTCTCATCTCTGCTATCTTTCTGTCTAAAAGTTTCTTATTCTTCTCTCCTCTTCCTAGGAACCCTTTAAATGGTGGGAGCTGGCCTCCCACAGATGGTGCCCTGAACAGGGACTTAGGTTCAGGGACCCCTACAGAGGTTCAGGGTTTCAAAGTTATCATTGACTTTCTAGTGGTTTACTAGCCTGTCTGAGCAACAAGAGACCCATTCTCAAACAAACAAAGATCAATGAATAAATGAAAGAACAACATTCATATAAATGTCAACATATTTCAATTATACTAAAAGAGAACATTTTGGTAATACTAATGTCTTTCAAGCAAAGATGTTTGACAGCAAATGAAAAATTAAATCAAAGTAACTTTCATTTGAAAGAGTACACTAAAATTTGTAAATTTACCTTAGATGATCTTAGAGAACAAACATAAATTCAATTTGAAGATAATTTTACACTTCTCATCATCTTTTCTGTTCATTTTCTTTCTCTCTTTGATGACCCAACTGTTGTGTAATGGGCATAATTTCAGAAGAACCATTGATATTATGCAACAAGAAAATTATCATGGGTGTTTCTGACCTCATAAGAAAAATTCATTAATAAAAATCAGTGATTTTCCACTCTCTTCCTCTGTCACCTTAAGACATTAGAGTTGCATCCATAGCATTCAGATATTGTTCTTAATGTTTTCCACTGATTTTCATGGGAAAGCAGACACCCTCCAACAATTTTTCCCAACAATTCAAGATCATCAAGCGTTAATAGATTCTGTTACTTTCAAGGACAATAGAAGTAACTCTCTCTTTTAGTATTTTTCTGAAAGAATAAATAGTTCATTTTTGTGATCTTATTATTTGATTGTTAAATACATTGTACTTAAAATATTATTTCACATCACATTTAAATAGCTATGTCACTGTTGAACCAACTTTTTATTATTTACTAAAAATTAGAAGTTTTTTGTTTGTTTTCATTGTAGTTGGTCTACAATTTTTCTATGATGCTGAGAAAAGAACACAGAGTCTTATGAATGCTTGTTAAAACATTCTAGAGTTGAGCTACTTTTAGCAAGATTAATTTTTAAAAGGCATGTGTGAGATAAAAATGCTTAGAACTTTAGAAATATAGAAACAAGACATAGATTTACCCCTCTCCGCAGGTTTGTGCATTTCACATGCTGGGCTTGATTTATGTAATATTCCTTATTATGTATAAGTTAGATAGCCATAAAATATTAATTTGATAGTAAAGTATTAACAAGTAAAATCCTATTTAGGTGTCTAATCAGTCCCATCTTCCTGGTTAGGAAAATCTAATTACAACTCTGCTTTATAAAGCTCTGTAGAGGAGATATCACTGAACTTCACAACAGCTTTGGCTGTGTTGCTGGTCCTGGATTTGCCCTCTTATAGCTACAAACTATGAAAGGAACTATCACTTGAGAAAGAGGGACATAGAAGGCTTCTGTGACAACCCCTAATAACTACTCCCTCTAAACAAATACAAAACAAAATACAAAACAAGAAAACAGACTAGATAGAAAGCTAAATTAGAGAGCTCTTAAAAACTGTGATAATGGTGCTGAAGCATAGCTCTCCACAACTGATGGCTTCTGGCAGGAATGTCCATAGGGAAGAACTCAGTTTTCCTTTCAAGACTAGCCACAGGCAGTTTGACCACGCTCTATTGAGTATATGGGCAACAAATTGGACTTGTCTTTCTTTCTTTTCCTTTTTTGGGAGGGGGAAAGTTAGAGGGGAGGTAGACCTGGGAGTGCTAGAAAATGAATGTGCTTGAGGTTCATGATGTGAAGAGTACCAAATAATCAATAAAAATATTGTGAAAAAATAAATGTGCACACAAACATATCACACAGTCACAGTGTTTTTGATGTGCTGATCTTTAGACAATCTAGGTCTAT